ATGCAAAGTGCCCCGCCGCCGCCACGGCTGGCATTCACGCCACTGCCGATGCTGCCCACCCACGGCATCGGCGGTAGCGTGAATGTCAGCCTTGGCAGTGGCGGGGCACTTTGCATTGTGGGAGCCGCCAAGCACCTTTGCTGCAGACCCGGGTCTTGGCAGCTCCCGCGATGCAAAGTGCCCCGCCGCCGCCACGGCTGACATTCACGCCACTGCCGATGCTGCCCACCCACGGCATCGGCGGTAGCGTGAATGTCAGCCTTGGCAGTGGCGGGGCACTTTGCATCACGGGAACTTCATCGGCTGCTGCTTCCTCTGTTGCCACCACTTTCCCCTCTGCCCTGGCCACTGCTTATGCCGCGTTCGGAGTGCTGCCATTTCAGAAAGCCCCGCTGAAGCCTCAGCACTGTGTCCACTATAGAGCGGGATGCGTCTCGCCTGTATGGCAGACACAGCACCGGGGCTTTAAAGCCCCGCCGCTGTGTCCGCCATAGAGCGGGATGCATCCTGCCTGTATGGTGGACACAGTGGCGAGTTTCAGTGGGGCTTTTGGAAAGCCATGCCAGGGCTTTGCCTCACCAGCCATAAAGCTCACCGCACGTCACTGATTTTGAGTGTTAGATTTTAAGGACTGATAATTATGTGACTTGTAGTTTAGATCATTGTTCGCCCATAGAGCTCAACTAAATGTTTTTCTCTATATGACAGGAAACTCTTCCTGATATAAATGGTGAATAGGTTTCTTCTTTCTCTTCTGTCATTAAAGTATATATTATATATGTGTCTATACATCTTAGGTTTTTTTAAATTAATACTGTTTTCTTTTGTACTTTATTATATATCTCAGTTGTGCAATTCATATAAGTCTCAGTGCCACAAAGAAACTAAACTTTTAAATTAGAAGTGATGGGGAAGACAGGCAGACAGAAAGAGAAGATCTAATCTTCAAGGTACAACATATAAGGATATACAAAATTTTGGATGTATCTTTTGGATGTACAAAATTACTTCTCTCTTCACTCATCCAGAGTACATTGTTTAATCTAGTACAGTCATAGACATACTTTCAGAATTCTTGAAAAGAATAGGAATGTAAGCATTCCTTCAACTTTCCAAAGGTACTGTATCCTACAATCAAACAGTATCCTAAAATTACTGTTATTTAATCTTATTATTAACTAGCTGTACCCAGCCACGCATTGCTGTGGACCAGTCTGGTGAAATGGAAAAGAAAGAAAAGAGAAAGCACAAGTTTCTAATATGTTTAATTTCACAATGCTTGTGGGTATATTATATTTTTTTGTGTTCCATTGTCTGTACAGATATAGAGATTGTTTGGTTTGCCAACTCTAGAACATGCAATATATAATTGTCCTTGTGAGAAACAATTTTCAATTGCTGGAAAGACGTTGGACCGAGCACATTTACCAACAACACGCGAAGAAAGAAACATTCATCTTGATTGGGATGCATGGTGTACAGTCTGCCTATCGTAGTTTCTTTGAATATGCCAGGTTGCCCTTTGACTCGCTCTCCTCGTTTGCGTCGTTCAAATGATTTTCTACTCTCATTCCATGTGTTATATGTAGGCTCTTCCAAATACAACAGTATTTTCACAAAGATGTCATATTGATACAATGTGGAGAAAGCAGTTAACATTGTGGCTGGTGGATTCAGGACTATTTGTTGCACATTTGCAGGTGTGAAATAAACATGTTGTCCATTTTCTAGATGTACTGCTAAGTGAACAACAGCTGTACTTCGTTCATATATGGGAAATGAAAAAAATTGCCATACAGCTTCATTGCTGCTTATGTATCTTCCAGCCTAATTCTGTGCAATTTCATCAAAATGTATGATCGCATTCCTATCACTTCTTTCTGGTTGCACACCCAAAACTGCCATGTTGCTGCCTTTATTCACATACTTACAAATGTATTTGATCAATTTAACAGAGTTACAGTATTCGACGTTTATGTGTGCTTTGTATGTTTTTGATAGCAAAGGTGAATATGGAACAGCCCACCGGTTATCTACTTCAATGTCACCATTTCGCATTTGTATGGTTGCTAATTTACCACCATCTTCTGCTGATCTTCTTCTTTATAAAGGATATCTGTTGTGACTCAGCAGATGTCTGCTGTGAGTCTTTTTGGGATACAAGATTCATTATGCAGCTGGGGCTTGTTAGAGGCAGGTTTGGAGATAAANTCTGACATCAGCATATTAAATTGCGCTCATAATAGGATAATTGCTTCTTTAGTCTTCTTATCTCCTGGATTTAATATTAACTCCTGTTCTCTCTTCCTAATCTCGTCCTCTAGTTCATTCTTTTTTCCCCCTATTTACATCTATGTAACCTATTTAAATTTATTAGGACTCCTTGCATGTATGCTTTACTTGCATCCCAAACCATTTCCATAGAAGAGCCCTTCTTCATATTTAAAACAAAATATTCTCTCAACAGTTTTTTACATTCATTAGCATTATTCTCATATCTAAAAAAATTTTCATTTAATCTCCAAGACTTTCTAGATTCCTTCCCAAATTCCAACTCCATCCAAACCAGGTTATGATCTGTTAAGGCTCTGGAACATATCTTCGTCTTCTTTACCCTAGAAAGCAAATCATTGGTTGTTAATATGATTTCCAGGAGAGGATTCTTGTTGACTTCTTTAAGAGCAAACACAAAAGCTAGGACATACTGATAGTTCTTAGGGATTATACTGCCAAGAGAATTTTGAGCAGGGACATGCAGTCACTAGAGGCAGGGGAGGCGTGGCCTCACTAGTCATAAGGAAAAGGAAAGAATTTTAAAGAATTTTTTAAAAATAATTAAAGCCAAGATAGTTGTTGCTAGATTCCAAGTCACAGTGGCTTGGAGTCTGCTTAATGTTAACTATAGGAGGAGGCAAGAGAACTAGGGGCCTCCTGTGCATAAGGAATTTTTCACCTTTTAAGAGTTAAGCAAGGGTTAAAAAGCGAAAATTTCGTATGCAAAGGAGGCACTGATTCTCCCGCCTCCTGATCTGGGAGCAGCGAATCATGCCTTGCACTTAGGCGACTGTGCAATCTAGCAGCAGAAGCCTTGTGAGCAAGTTCAACTCTACACTTTGCATCGCAGGAGCCGCCAAGAGCAGTACCATCAGAAGACTTAGAGGTCTCTCATTTCCCCATTAACCTGCAATATCTTTAACTAGCTAACATTTAATATCCAT